AGAGTGGCAGTGAGGGCACGAGGAGTTGTCAGTTTCCAACGTGCCACTCTGGCCTTAAAGGGGCAAAGGGAGAGGAAGAGAGGAGTCATGGTCAAGTCTGAGGTTTTGTCCAAGTAACTGCAAGGGTGGAGCTGGCACTAACTGACATCAGTAAGGCTGTGGGAGGAGCAGGTTTGGAAAGATGGTTCAAAAGGTTGTTATTAGACAACCAAGTGGAATTGCAAGAAGGCAGTTGAATATATGAGCCTAGAGTTCAGGGGCAGGGTTTGGACTGGAGATAAATTTAGGAGTCATTTGCTTGAGCCTGGATGAGTTCATCAAGGAAGTAAATATGGATAGAAAAAAGAAAAGGTCCAAGGATAGACCCCACACAGGGAACAGACCTCAGCCCTCAGAAACCATGGGGGATGGGGTCAGGTAGGACAACAACCAAAACAGTGCCATGTCCAGAGAAAGCAAGACAGCAGGAAGGAGGGACCAAGTGGGTCAGAAACTGCTGCTGTGAAAAGGAGGCAGAGCACCGCCACTCATCAGCACATCTACCTGTGAAAGTAATTGCTGACTTTGAAAGGAGCAGCTCTAGTGAAATGGTGGAGGTGGAGGCAGATTAGAGTAGATTCTGTAGCAATCAAGAGGAAAGGAATTGGAGAGAGTGAATATAAACAACTGTTCTAAGGCATTTTTGTGAGGTGAGCAGAGAAACGTGGGGGTAATAAAGGCAGAAATGAGTAGGAGGCATTCTGTTTTAAGTTGGGAAAATAACTGCATGTCTGCATGTTAATGGAAATGATTCAGTGGAAAGGGGAAACGGATGATTTAAGAGAGAGAGAATTGAGTAAGAGGAAGGTGATGGGATGCAGAGTACAAATAAAGGTGACAGATAGGAGCACAGTGAACTGAGCCAGCAACAAAAGAGAGGGTACGGAATGGAGGTCGGTAAGCAGGTGGTGGGAGCTTGGAAGATAAGAGTGTCAGTGTTCTCAGCAGTGGAAACTTGATCACCAGCTGAAAGTGAGGATGGAGGGGGAGGTAGTGTTTAAGGTGAGATGAGAATAAGGTGAGAAATAGCTTTCTAGGAGTGTGGGACAGGGAACAGACAATGGACATATAGTATGATTTTGTTGGCAGAAGTAGGGGCCCACTTGAGTTCTGCAATCATAAATATAAGAGGAGCCCACAGCCATTTTTCACTCTAAAGACAAAAAGGCGGGGTCGCGGAATGGTGAGCAGGTGAGCACCTTGAAGTGAGGAAGGGATGAGAGAGTCAAGGGTATAATGTGAGGGATTCCAGATGCTGGAATTTGTGCTCAGTAAAAAGGAAGGAAACATGAGGGGGTGAGAGACAAAGGTCCTGGTACATACAGGTTTGTTAACATAGGGGTCCTAGAGAGAGAATAAGCAGGAAAGACAAAAAAAATGGTGAAAAGAGAGGATGATTAAAACTGAGTTTTAAGAGGGGTTCCAATTAGTGGTAAAGACGAGTTAGGCCAGTACTGCTCAAACTTTAATGTGTGTGTGTAAATCCCCTGGTGTTATTATGATACACTTGTTGAGTCAGTTAGTGTGGGGCAGACCCCGAGATTCTGCATTTCTATCAAATCTCAGGTAATGTCGATGCTGTTGGTTCAAGGATGTTTTTTTGAAAGGCAACGATCTAGTTTGTTATTTCTCAATCCTAGCAATAAACTACAGCCCCAAGGGGAGCTTAAAAAATACTGATGCTCAACCAGTCTTGACCAGTGAGTGACTCAGAGTTTCTCTGGGTTGGATTTAGAATTGATATATTATAAATATTCCCCCAGTCCTTCTGCAGTGAAGCCAGGATTGAAAACCTCTGCCCTAGAACAGGTGCCTGGAGTGTAAGTGACTTAAAGTCAAGATCATTGCAGGAGGGAGGGGTATGGAACTGAGGGCCAAGATGTTGAAAATGGCATCTTTTGTTATTGAAATCATCAGAAATTATGACAGACGTTGTGCTGGATAAAATGGCTATGAATCCAGAGGTCTGTAGGTGATTTAAAAATATATAGGTGACATAATCTGATGGCATGAGATTTGAAGCAAAGGTGTTTGCACAGAAAGATCTGGAATAGACAGTGCAGAACCAGGAGGAGACTGCCTGGGACCCCAGGCACAGCGGTATGTGGGATTTAGGGAACATCCCCGATCTGAGAGGAATCCAGAATACTATAAACACTAACGTCATGAGGAGCTAGATTTTTAGTTAGAGAAGAGTGAAGAAAACAGTCTTTAAAAAACTGGAATTTTGGGGGGATTTCACTACTGTGTTCCAAGGCCAGATGGAAAAGTTTTGAGAATTTTGGAGGGTAGTAATGGAGAAGCGGAGAGCAGGATGGAGACTCGAGATTGGGGAGCGACGATGACCGGTCTCATGGAGGGAGGAGATGGTCTCAAAGCAGGGCGATGGGGCATGCCTGGGAGTATCCAGCAAGGAGAACAGAGAGGAAGGGTCTTGCTAGAGGCTGGAGAAGTCCTGGGCTCCTCTCTTCATTTCTACAGGTATGTTCTAGATACTTTCTTCAAACTTCGAAGGCATACAAATGAGCCCAATACAGAAAACAGATCAAAGATGAGCTTCTCTGCCTCAAGTTAGAGTTCAGGGAGGAAGGAGAGCCCCTACAGAGCCCTGGGGCCTCCCCAGAACTTCTGGGACTCCCTGGGAGTCCTCGGAGCTCAGGCCATAATCACTGCTGCAAGGCTGATGAGAAACACCCAAGGGAAATGCAACCATATAAAAAAAGTAAAGACCATATACTCAATAATCATGTTAAGTCTTTTTAGATCTTTTGTCAACTGTTCCAATTGCTCTCTTTCCTCCTTGTAATAACCTCCTCTAATAAACAAGTGGTTTTCAGTAACCCTTGGGACTTTTGATGCCATTTCTGATCAGGAGGACAATACTGTTGTTAACTGCTATTACATGCATAGAAGAAACCATAGTTTTGAGCAGCCTTGACTTAGGGCAGGCTCCCTAGAAACAAACCATGAGGCCAAGGTTTGAATGCAAGCAGTGTTTACGAATGCACTCCCAGGAGAGTCTTGAGTGGACAGAGCAAGCAAGAGAGAAAGGAAGCCCAGGAAGAATTCTAATTCAGGGGAAGTCTCCAGGAGGTATTTTCAGCCCAATCCCCATAGGGGTAGTTTGGAAAGTAACAACTCAGATTTCAACTAGGATTGGCCAGTTTTCTAAAGCTTTTCTCCACACCCTGTGAGACAATGTGGAGGGGAAATTCCTGGGTAAACTAGGAACCCCTAGGCACTTCCAGGCAGAGTCCAGGAGCCTGAGGCCAGCCCTTCAGAAAACAGTGTTGGGTATAAGGTTTCTCCTGAAAGAAAAGCACAGAGAGCACAGACACACACTCAAGTAGAAGGGATCCAAGGCCTGCTCAGGGGAACCCAGCAGTGCCTTCTCAAGTGGAAAGCTTTTTCAGAATGGCATAGATAACCTAGGTAACGATTAGATTAAAATGATTAATGTCACCTTTCTAATTACTGTCGATTTCTGACAATATGAGTTTGCTACCTTCCCCCTTGCACTGCCAGCAGGATCGTACTGCCACACGCATAGGGCCATACTTTGAGAAAATCCAGGTCAAGCGAGTACGAGCATCTGATCAAATATATACAAGCACAGCCCTAACTAACTGTGCAGTCTGTATTCGAAAACAAAATGCATGTTTTAAAACTCCACTGCTTTACATGGATTCCATTCTCATTCTTACTTCCATTAGTGTAAATGCCAAGCATGGTGTCCTGTTTCAAAATTTACATGATTGCAAAGAGTTGCTCTTACCTACTTTTTCATACATTATTTTTTTCTGGATTATGGTTGGTTTTGTTTTTCCCTTTAACTTGTGGCCTCGCTTCTACATATTAAAAGAGCATTATTTTAGAGTTGCTACATTAGGTTTCATTTAGAGCTGTGTAGCACCAACCCCACTGACAGATTTAGAGATTAATTTGCAGACCTCTTGTGGTGCTAAAGAAGCTCCTTAAGATTTTGAAAATGGCAACACTATTGACTCCCTACTGCTAAAGGTTACCTGTTTCACATCCACACTAACACAAAAGGAAGGTTTAAATGTGGTAAATATCAATGTTGTTTTGTTTACGGGAAAAAACCTGTGCATAAGAGGGAAAAATAAGAAGCAATTTACAGGACAAGAAATAGTTTATTTTTTGTAGGGCAGCTTGTACAGATGTATCTCCCTCCTTTCATTCCATAGGGATAATATTGCTGTTGCTAAATTGATAGTAATTGCATAGAAAAAATGTAGCTTAATAATTTTGAACACTCATTTCTGAGGTCTGAGCCAAAGATCTGATATACAAAAGGAAAGATTTGGGTATGCCTACATGCTGTTTGGATTGTACTGAGAGTTGGTATAAAATCTTTTTTCCTCAACTATTTTGGCTTAGATACATCTCCAAATATGTGTTTACAACATTTTAGAATAAGTGCATTTTCAGGGAAATTTAATCCATATGTTTCAGCAAGTCTACACATAAATCATCAAAATGTTGTTTTATTTGTAAAGTGTGTAAGATGCCTCTCGGGTTTTTAAAACAGTTCTTATACTCTTTTCTGAAAAGCTGCAGGTAGGTTGCCAAAAGTAAACAATTGAAACAGCAAAAGGTTTGAGTTCAGTCGGAAATGCTTTGCCTATTATTTTTTATTGGATTCTAAACCTGGCAGCGGCACATTCCCAGTTCCTGCCTGCAGGGCAGAGAGAAAACAATTTGAACATTGGATTACTCAGTGGGTTCATTGACATTTGAGAATACCATAGCACAGACAGAATCAACATGTTTGGCAGGTGAGTGATAGATACTTCACATGACCTCGGAAAGTTACTTCCCCCAGTTTGCAGAAGTTCATAGCACGGAGCAGTGTTACATATATTGCAAAACACAATTAGAACAGGCAGATGTCAGGGCATATTTACTGGGGAATTACCTATTTATCTTTGTATCTTCAGGTGGAATGGTTGAAAAATGAAGACATAATCGATCCTGTAGAAGATCGGAATTTTTACATTACTATTGATCACAACCTCATCATCAAGCAGGCCCGCCTCTCAGATACCGCAAATTATACTTGTGTCGCCAAAAACATTGTTGCCAAGAGGAAAAGCACAACGGCAACTGTCATCGTCTATGGTGAGTGAGCTTCCAGGGTCTTGATCTGGCTCATGTCAAAGTGCAGATCTCATTTTAATTTTAAAACGTCAAGTACGAGGCTCCTTTGCAATTCCCATTGCTGCCCTCTTCCAGATTCTCACGTGGACAGTGAGGTTTAAATTCCCTCCCAGATACGCATAGACTAGACTCGGAAATGCCTAGCTCTTTGTCAGGCAGTTTATAAGAAAGTGAAGAAGTCTACTTGAGTGCAACTGTGTTCCTAAACCCTCCCCTCTCCCTACTCTGGACCATCAAGATCTAGAGTGAATTCAGAGCAAAGATGCTTAAAGTAGCCTGCTGCTACTTCTGTGAACCTTAGTTCAGTCCAGTGATTGCAAAGACTTGGATGAACTGGACCTGACATGTTTGTTCCCCACACACATCACAGCAACTTTCACCTCCTGGAACTTGCTTCACACACTTAGTCTGGGCATTCAGAGTACAGAAAGACCTGCCTTCGCCACGTAGCTCTCATTCTAACCGTGTGGAAGGTTCAACATCATGACGTCTTCTGGAATCTTCCCCACCACTCTCTGGACCTTCCTCATCTATCTCATTTCTAAGCCTATCATTTCTGCCAAAATAGTAAACCATTCCCCACCCAGTTTTGCTGTGGCATATGATTGGTGCTTTATCTCCTTGTCTGGTTTAGAATTCAGTGGTTTTCTAGTCATTTCATGAATAGTTCCCTCTCTCCAACTATGTAATCTTTAAGCTCGTTTATGCACTAAGAGTCAACTCTGTAAATGTATGCATTTCTCACAGTTTTTACACACAGTAGGTCTTCATGTTCTTAATGAGTCATTGTCTCAGAGGAAACTGAACAACCCTGTGAAGGACTTTGAGGTTATGCCCCCTCCTGAATGACATGACTGCCACTTAGAACATAAGGAAGCTTTTCAAGGCTGCTTCAGTGTTCAGTGACATTCCAGGGTCCTTAGTATCTGGATGACCCTGAAGGAGTGACAGCCACCAGCAAATATCTGGCTCAGGGTACTTATAGCTGACCATACCATTTGGACGGATGTGCCCTCACACTGTAAGGAGCTCTGAGAATGGAAACCACTGTGATGTTCCAAGGGCTGAGTCACAGTGATGCTTTAAACTACCATTTTCATCACAGGACAGATGCATACTATTTTCTTTAATTCTGTGAATACTCTGAGGTTTAATTTTCCAGTCATGCTAATCACTATGTTGAATTGTAAGCAATTGCTCTCTTAAGTCACAATGAAATGTTTTTTTACTTTTTGTCTTTTTCTGAACTAAGTAACTTAACAGCATTGGAAATGCAAAAGAGAAATGGGGCACATCACAGCACATACCAGTACTAAGTAACTAATGAGGGCAGACTCTATCTGGGTATGTCACATGGATGTTTCATACATATACAAATTTCTTCTCCTATGGAGAGCATACTTTCAATATCTAATAAATACAATCAATAATCACAAGTAATCAATAATTATAAGCCAAACACTGTCTTTAGGAAGGATAAATGTAAATAACAAGATTTTGAGTTCAAAAAAGCATTGGACTAGGAGTCTAGAGCCTTGTGGACCAATTCTGACTTTCTGTCGATCACTTAACCAGGATGCTTGGAGCCCTTGACACCTTCTCCATAAAATAAAGGAATTAGTCTAGGATCTTCAAAAACTTTTCTTTTCTCTAAAAGTTTATTATTATTCATTTCTCATGAAAATCCTAGCAGAGCAACACATGTATACATAACCCTAAATATCAGCTTGCCAATGCAGTAGTAAGAAAATTTATGGGGATAATTCTACAACATTTGGACCTTTGTCAAGCTGCGGGGGTTAAGATGCTTTTTGAAACACTAAGACTCTGTTTATCAACCATTTGTCCTCTTTAGGGCCTCACAACACAAATTGTCCAAGGCTCACAGGTTGGGCTCTCACGGAGTCCACAGAAAGACATATACATCTAACAAGGATTTTATTTTAGAGCCAGTTATATAGACTTATTTTTGTTAGTGTCATTTTTAGATTGAAAACATATGTCCATTACAGAAAATCTGGGAAGAACAGAATGGCTAATGAAAAAAATACCTCTTAATCTCATCATTTTGTCATCCAAAGATAGCATTAAAAAAGAGTGATATATATCAGTATACTACTGATATTTTCTATGCACAGATAAGATTTTAAAACAAGGGAGATAGATACCTTTTGACTTAAAACATAATATTGAAATATACACTTATTACTAAATAGACTTCTACAACTCTTAATGGCTGCCTAGGAGGCAACCACGTGAATGTACATGGTTGCTTTACCATTTTCCTATTGTTGAACATTAGAGTTGTTTTTAATTGTCTTTACATAAAAAATAAGTCTGTCATAAAAAATACTGTTGTCTAAGTCTGTATATATTTGAAAGTAATGCATGCATGATTATTCCCTAATGCTCAGGTTTCTGGAAAGTAGATGCAAGGCTTATGATGGGCACATAGAAAATTGTGTTACTTGAATGGCTAACACTTTACTCTCAGGAGGCATGTGCATATAGTAGTTGTGTCATGTCCCATCTACCAGCAAATAATTTTTGTTAAAAGTTGCTTAATTACAAAAAAAGTCATAGACTCACATTTTAAAGCACTAAAATGTGTCAGAGTAATTTCTAAGGTGAGATCTCAGAGGTAAATAAAGAATGCAGGGTTAGAGTGTAGGTTTTATAATCTCACCTGTAGTGACATCTCCATCAAACACCATAATTAGCCTTTATACACAAATAGGTATTCATTTCAAATACATCAACTCATTGCCAATTCAATCAAATAGCTACTCAATTAGTAAAAAATCCAGCAACCTAAGACTTTGTTTTTTAACAAGGTTCAATGGTTAGTTAATAAAACTGACTAAAAGTCCTTAAAAGGTTCTAAAGTTGACATGTGCTAAAGAAAAATAATTAATCATCTATTATTAAGAAAAGACAGAATGATTTTATTGAGTTCCCATGTTTCAGACCCACCTACAGCCTTGGCATAAGAATGTAAATATTTATTATTTGAGATAAGCTGTCAAAAGTAATTTTTGGAGCTTGACTAGGCAAGGGGATATATTTTGTTTTAAAAAGAACACTGGCCAAGGAAAAGAAAACATACATTATATTTACTTTTCCGAGTAGATGAATAAATGTTGGTAATTAACTTTATTTATCTCTGTGCTTAGATTCTTCAGCTCTGCAATAAAACTGGGAATGAAATGATGTCCGAGGTCCCTTCTAGCTTTGAATTGTCCAGTCACTGGGGAGATAACTTTCTGTTTCTGTGCTGTGTGTGGTCTGTGTGTATGTGTGAGCACACACACACGCTTAATCTATGTTTTATTATTTTCCTCTTTCCAGTAAACGGTGGCTGGTCCACCTGGACGGAGTGGTCCGTGTGCAACAGCCGCTGTGGGCGAGGGTACCAGAAACGCACACGGACCTGCACCAACCCAGCACCACTCAACGGTGGCGCCTTCTGCGAAGGACAGAGTGTGCAGAAGATCGCCTGTACCACGTTATGCCCAGGTAAATAAACCAGCATTCTCATTCCAAATGTCTCCTCCCCTTCTAGAAATATGTCTTAAGGGATATACACAAAGCCTTATCCTTGACTGAATGTCTGATAAACATTATTTAAATCTATCATATCATTCAATGCATACATTGCTGGAAAATCAAATATTTCCCCCCAAAAGAGTACTTAACTTTTTTATCTGGACATGAAAAATAATATAAAACAGGACATTAAACATTTATAAACATAATCCTTCTTTATTCCTAAACAAATCTGCTGGAGCCAAGATTTCAGGTTCTGTAATTCAAGAGTTTTGAACAACATTGAAAGCCACATGTTTCAGAAATAGCAACCCTTGATCTCCAGAAACCCATGGACATTAATAGGAACTGAGATTCAGAAAATGTCTTAGACTGAAATATTGGATATTTGGTGTCAGTTTCTGGGCAAGTGCAAATAAAACATTTGGAATGAATTAAAAGGAAGTCTAAGCTTTGTGACACCTGAGCTAATGGAGTCTGAAAATACAGTGCGGTCAGAGCTGTATTATCTGTCGGTGTCAGTCACCTGTTCTGTGCGTTACTTGCCAACATCGTATCCCTCTGCCTCTGAGCATCTTTCTGTGCTATTTTATATTATAGTTGCCTGCTCTCATTCCTGTGTAAATTGAAGTTAATATCCACCAAAACCAAACCTCACTAAACTTCCTAATCAATAAATTGAAAATTTGGCTAAAATTCTGTTTGAAAGAATTCATAAATTTAGTGCACTCCATTGAGGTAGCTATTGTATTATCAATTTCATTCTTTAGAAACACAGTCTTTTTACTTCCCTTTATTTTGCCTATTTTTTGTCAAGTTTATCCTTTAATACAAACTTTCTCAGAGATGGGTTGAAGAAATGAACTGAAAAGAAAAACGTTGTCTCTATTTTATATTCTTGTGTTAATTTCCAAATATCAAAACAGTATGCTACACTGAGCCCTTTAGAGTTTTTATTTGTGGAACAGATTTTGACACTTAGCTAGGTTTATAATTTCAGTGTTTTATCTGGTACTGTTCTATATTGTATCTAGATGGCAACTCTCATAATTGAAAATGTATCGAACATTTTGAGTTGAAATAGATGTGTGTGTGTGTGTGCACGTGCACGTGTGATTTGGGACGGTCTAGGTCAAAGCACATGCCTTTTCTCCAGATAGTTGCAAGCTGCTTATATAGGCAGCTCTGTGTGATTGAAGTACTAGTGCGTTCATCTTTTCTCATGTTCACATGTTCATATCTCTATACATATTATGCATTATATATTTACACAATAACTTGAATATGAAATCATATAGTAAACTATTAAAATAATATCATTTCTATGAATAGCAGGTATAGGATGCTATGTACATTAGATGTTTAACAAATTATATTTAACATTATTTACATTGAATTCTAGATAATCAAAATTGTTTGTGTTTCAGGAAAAAATTTTTGAGTGTTTGTCAATATTTTTATCCTATTAATATAAAGAACCTTTAAAGAATCTATTTTAAAATATGACCTTAATGAAATTCACCTTACACTTTTTTAACTTAAAAATCTAAATTGTTTTTAAATAGAGATATTTCAGCTCATTAGCATTGACATTACTGCCAAGGCAGCCACCAAAAGTAGGAAGAAAAGGAGTCAATTTTAAATGGCTGAATCACAGCAGAAAATTAAAAATGACTAAATATAATTTTCAAATAAAAATACAAATGTATATATATATCATAAAATAATGGAATGGAATCATCAAATGCTAAATAGAAAACAGTCTTTTCAAGAAGATGTTGAAGATCTCAGGAAATCAATTAGCCTGGATGGAAAAATAAAATTAAAATAGTGTATAGGACACACATAGGTAATGGATAAATTAATAGATAAATTAGATTAATAGATAATAGATAAATAAATAGATATTCAGGTAGACAGATAGATAGCAGATATGAACGGTAAAGTAGTGCACAGGTAGCTGGAGGGATGGACAAGTCAGGACCTAGGCAGATTTCTTCTTCCCCACACCACCAACCTTTCTCCTTACCCCCATGTAGGTTTACTTGCACTGCCTACATGACACTATACATGAAGGAATTTGGGTCCCAAAAGGAAGCCCCCTAGTTTTCAACACAAAATCCAAAGGTTTCTCTTTTGATAGAAAAAGGGTCACCACTATGACTTACTTTTATATGACTGTCAGTGACAACTTTGGCTTCTGTGTGTCCCACTAAGCTTCCTTGCTTGGTCAGTGAGTAAAAAGTCACACAGCTCATAAGGAGAGTTTGCAGGGCCCAGTGGGTGTGTGCAGAGCATGCTCCACTCCCAGCAGTTGACATAAATGCAGTACTCCTCAATGGCCCATTTTCTCTGGCTGGTTTTGTTTTTATACTTGAGAGGCTCCTAGTACATGTGACCTGATACTGGTTTTCTTCTGTGGCAGTGGATGGCAGGTGGACCTCCTGGAGCAAGTGGTCTACTTGTGGGACCGAGTGCACACACTGGCGCAGGCGGGAGTGCACAGCGCCAGCCCCCAAGAATGGAGGCAAGGACTGCGATGGTCTGGTCTTGCAGTCCAAGAATTGCACTGACGGGCTCTGCATGCAGAGTAAGTCTGTTTGGGCCAACAGAACACACCAGGGAGACCTGGGATCTAACCATTTGAGATTCTTTGCAGGAAATACTAAAAATTAAAAATCAGTTGAACAACAAGAAAATGCAATAATATACCAATATTCTAGGTCTCTTCCTGAATTGAAAAAGGTAAACTCCCAGGAACCGAAAGGAATAACTGTGTCCAGTTAACAAATGATACACACAGTATTTGCTTTCCCATGAGCAAAGTGTGATTTAGTCATCTCTGTGAGGGGCTGTCATTCATTCCAAACCAGGGAACCACTGCTCAGCTTTATCAGAGTGCACTGAAGCGTACCCTAAATGCCTTGTGGAGTCATGTGACTTCCCAACGCAAGCCATGCATTCCTAATTCATGGCTGTTAGCCAACTAACGCCCATGGGGTATGTAAGATGGATAAGAACAGCAGATACTTCTGCAGGTAGACCTACCCAGTTACCAGAAGTTGGTGGGAACATCCTCACAGCTCTTTAAAAATGATGGGTTTTGTTAGAAATTATGTTTATTTAAAGGGATAATGTTAATAAAATATACAATTTTAAAATGGGTGTAGATGATTGGTTCAGGAATATAATAAAGTGCTTTAAGCTAAATACTCCTCATTTTTTGCATGGCTTTGTCTTTTAGGTTTTCTTAATGAGATGGTTGTTTGATTTCCATACCTACAAATTCTTACCCTTTTATTAAGGAGCCCTTAGAGGTACAAAATTTACCATCTCTCCCACACCCGTGAGGTACTAAGAATTGTTCTGCAATCACACCCATGCAGATGACTACATCAAACAATGTACTATCTTTGTATCTTAATGGCAGCTAAATACTGACATTTCGTATAACACGTTACAAATTACTTGTAAATACAGACAACCAAATATATTTGTGTAGAAGCTTTTATGCATAAAATATTTTATTTTTACCATATCTATGAAGATGCATTTACCTTCCAAAGTCTATACACACAAGGCCTTTTAAAAAGGAACTTTGCTTAAAATATAAATGAGTAATTATGTTGCTGACACAAAATAAAAATCCAATAGGCGTTTTGTTTTTCTGGGCACGGTAGGTTCCATTCTTTGAAAATGGCTGCTGCTGAGTGTAAAAAGCACAGCTTCTGGTTATGATTTGGAGATGACTGCTGTGCATCTCACTAAGCTTATCCCTGAAACGCAAGAATGAAAAGAATACAGCTGTTTTACCAACCATTTACCCAGATACAGCATTTGTTCCTCTAGGCATGAATTTGAGTGAGGATTAAAACAAAAACATATGTTGCACAAGTTATTCTTTTAACCTTTTTTATGATTTAGTATTCTTCTTTAATTGTTTAAAATTTAAATCATGTGATTAAAAAGTAGCAAAATTTGAACTTCCTCCCTCTCTCTCTCTCTCTTTTTCCCCCCGCTCTCCCTCCCATGCTTCTGTTTCAGTATTATATTATAACTTTGGGTGATTCAGTGCTTGCTACTTGCATTGGACTTTACTGATAAGACTGACTACATGCAAAAAAGTTTAATGCATAAATTCAAAATAGGATTTGGGGGCAGAACAGGAACAAAAAAGAAAGAACAAAAGAAATGTGATCTGCTTCCAAATCTTGACTATTGTAAATAATGCTGCAATGAACATAGGGGTGCATATATTCTTCTAAATTAGTGTTTCGATTTTCTTTGGGTATATCCCAGAAGTAGAATTTCTGGGTCATAAGGCAGTTCCATATTTTAGCGGCATAAGTCTGCATTCCCACCAACAGTACATGAGGGTTCCCTTTTCAACACATCTTTGCCATTTATTGATAACAAGCATTCTGACAGGTTTGAGGTCATATCTCATTGTGGTTCTAATTTGCATTTCTCTAATGATTAGTGATAAGTGCCCATCAGTAGATGAGTGGATAAAAAAGCTGTGGTACAGTTACACTAGAGAATATTACTTGGCCATAAAAAAGAAGAAAATCTTACCCTTTGCAACAACAAGGATGGACCTGGAGAGCATTATGCTAGGTGAAATGAGCCAGTCAGAGAAAGACAAATACCATATGATCTCACTTATATGTGGAATCTAGTGAACAAAATAAACTAACAAAGTGGATAGAGACTCATGGTTACAGAGAACATTCTGACAGCTACAAGAGGGGAGGCAGATGGAGGCAGGGTGAGAAGGGTGAAGAGACTAAGCAAAAAAATAAAAGAAAGACTCATGGACACAGACAATAGTGTGGTGATTGCCAGAGGGAAGGGAAGGTAGGAAGTGTGGTAGAAAAAAGTTAAAAGGGGATAAATGATGATGGAAGGAGACTTGATTTGGGAGGTAAACACACAATACAATATACAGACGACATGTTGTAGAATTATATACCTGAAATCAATATAAGTTTATTAACCAGTGTCATTCCAATAAACTCAATAAATAAAGTAAATATAAACAATAAATAAGATGATATACACCAGGGATCATCACGTATCAGGGATAATAATGCAAATGAATTACATTCATCTGTTAAAGGAAATTCAAAATTGTGGGGGGCAAAACCCAGTTTTACACTGTTGTGAGAGACAAAATGAAATCATAATTATAGAGAAAGATTTAAAGTTAAGAAGAGGAACTTACAATATAGTTCAATCTTTATTTTATAATGTTCGATTAATGGCTTTGATTATCTGATTGGACTATTCTTAATTTAATTTCATTTCTCATTGTGCCTGAGTAACACATCTTTGAGATTGTGTTTGCTTGCAGTTTTAATTTAGATTTTTGCTTTTAAACATTCTAATCATTTTTTAGAATGTTTAGTTTTCCTTAGAATACCTAATCAAAAGTTTTCTAAATTGTTTACCAGGCTATTAATTGTATGTGTAAGATGCCTTAGTAATCCAGGTGCTTCCTCAACATCAATTTAAATTTTTAAAAGGCTTTGAGGCTTACTTATAGAATTATATAATATTTTAAAGACACAATATGCTAAACATTAGCAAATGTGCATTAAAATAGGATTTCTTGTATTTTACTAATGGGAATACAAATTTTTACAATTATTTGGGGAGGCAATTTGACAAAACAAATTAAGAGCTTTAAAAGTGTTCATAGCCTTTGACACAGTAATCCTACTTCAGTGAATAAATTCTCAGTAAGTAATATGAATTGCTAAAACATACATATGCTAAATATGCCATAGTCTTTGTATTTTACTGTAGAGAAAATAAGACACCTGAAAATCCAATATTAGAGCAGAGCTTAAGTAATACATGCTTCTTCCATAAGGTGTAATATCATATAGCCACTGAAATATTTATGATGGTTTAACATAAACAGCAGAATATAGATTTATAGATGCATTTTGTCATAAGTATGTAAACATAAGTTTTAGGGAAAGATGTATGATATTTATGCATTTATGCTTGTGACACTAAAACTGATTATTTTTCTTTTTCAATATGCATTCTATTCTCCATATTTGTTATTTTTAGTATTTCATTGTGTTTATAATTGTAAATAAGTTTTTAATAAAGAAATGTTGAGGATGACCTGGAACAGCTGTGTATCTTGTAAGACGAAGTCTCAAGGTTTGAAATGTAGCAAAATCACTGATATGTCCTGGGAATTTGGTCACATTGATTCAATTAGATTAGATTTAAATTAGATTACCAAAAAAGTATTTGCACAAAATACTTGCATAAAGCCCTAGTTGTATAAAACCTTAGGTGGCAAGAGTTACGTATAGCCATTAAATCAAGTGCGTTTATAAAAGGATTTGAAAACGTGGGGATTTGGAACTGAATTACAGTTTTAGATTATTTCCCAGTTGCCTGTTATATACTTTGCAAACATACTTATCCTCAAACTCTTTGATAAATTGGATTTATTATGTAATGCTGTGTAATTTCATTTGTGAAACAATCTCATGGTCTTTAAGCAATTTCAGAAGCTCTACTAAGTTTTTCAGGCCATTCGTACACATTAATTGATACTGAAGTGTAGTGGATACCATGTACCTATTACACTGGATATATCATCATTGGTCTGAAAAGTAGTTCCTACAATGGAGACACTGCCTTCAGATTAAGAACTTCCAGAAATTGGTGTTATTTCACCAGAATGCATTTTTAAAGGAGAATTAAAAACCCTCAGACTCAATATCCCAGAAAGAAGTTGAAAATTTTAGGTTTATAATCACACTGTTAATTTTAAAAAACAATTTAAAAACTGGAGTCTGTTGGTATGCTGAAGTATTTTCCTTAGAGTATTTTCCACTATTGAAAGTAACTGAACACACATGTCTGATATGTCCAATATGAGAAACTTCACATTAATAACAGATGAGACTGTATTTCATAATACTACAGAATAATGTATCTTATTCAGAGGGCAGTAATGGAAGGTCCATTGCACTGTGTACCCATTAGATTTATTTGTGTCATTCCTAAAATTATACAAAAGTAGCCCCTGGTTTTGCAATATAGTTTTGAAATAGGATTTACTTGAAATGGCTATGTTGAGAGGGAGAGAGGGAAAGAAAGAGACAAAGAGAAAGAACACTAGACACCAAAAAAAAAAAAAAAAAGATACAGAAGAAGAAAGAAGCACTTAGGACAATCTCCGAAAATGCTAAGCCAATAAGCATATTTACCTTTTTACTTTTTATGTTGAAATACAATTGTATTACCAAGAACTGACAACTTTGAACTTTTATGATTTCTATAATGAATATGTAGTAAGATCCACTTTGTCATGGTTGGCATGTAATAGTTTAATCCATGCTCTTTTCTTTTCAAAACAGCAATCTAAAGACTATATATATGGCTTAGTCCATAAATGGTGCTTTATATATATTTATGAATATGCTCAATTAGATTATTATATTACTGCCTCTATGCCTACGGACTTTAGTTTTTAATCCTATCTGAAGCAATGGCATCCCACGTAGGGATATGTACCAGTTCAAATCTGAATTTAGAATTACTCTTTCTTGCTGAAGA